GCCGCGTCTGTGTTTGCCGAGACACTGTGGCGGTGCACTCGTGCAGTGCGCTCGGTCGACGCCGCGCCATTGCCGCCGTCGCTCGTGTGCGCAGCACTCGTGCTGCCGTTGCCCGCGCTGCTACTACTGGCCGAGCAGAAGTAGCGCGTGTACGTGCGCGCCGTACTTGAACAGGCTCGACCAGCAGCAGCGCACGCCTGCAGCCGTGGAACCACACTGCACCGTGATGTGCTCCTCTCCAATCCTGTTCTTTCAGGCGTCGCCATAGTTACGTACTCAACAACCTCACCACCAGCCATACTGTTCGCACGGTCCCCAGCCCAGGCCTGCAAACGGGCCCCAGCTGCAACGGTGCCACCACGCCAACATCGCACCACTGGCACTGCGCTGGCCAGCATGCCTTCAAGGCAGTATTCTTTCCCTTGTGTGGCAAATAGTTAGCCAGATTGTTAGCTGCTTTGCTGGAGCTGGACCGGGACTTGAATGGCTAACATGGAAATCAGTTTATGTTAGTAAATCTACTGAGTTCAAAACTATGTTTAGAACTGTTGCGCGATATCTATTTCAGACTCACGACTGATGCGTAGCGGCTACACTCCGAGCTTTCCGAGCTTCGCTTCGGTAAGTAACTTTTTAGTTGTAGTACTAGTAGCGATAGTAGCTAGTACTAGTAGTGTCTGTGGTGAGATCGAGAACCCAACATCTAGTTAGGCTAGTAGATCTACCTATGCCAATGGCTGGCCCTAGCCACTATTCCTCGGATCTGAGTCGAGTGCATGATTTTGTTTTTGTGTTCTTTTTTGACTTTTCCCAGCATAATTATTACGTCATTATGTCACAGCAATGCATGTCGTGACATAATGACGTAATAATTATGCTGTGACATGTCGATCGTCAAGCTGACAGCATACTGCATCACATCAAGAGTACATAACTGTGTAGTTAGGGAGCATCTCATAAGCTATAAGTTCGCACTTTTTTTGTAAACGTAACGCATTTCGGATAGACTTTACCCCCCTACCTCCCCCCACTATTTGAAAGTCTTATCGCACATTTTCAGTGTAGATCTACTGTACTGTCCATGCCATGGTATGCACAATCATGTACATGGACATGGACGCTAGTGTGGAAGTGAATGACATTCAGTAGTACCACATCTACTGAGTACAAGTAAGTAATAGTTTTAGTTACAGTCTTACTCTTAGTTCAATCAATGACATGTACACACATAAACAGAGCCAGAGGTCCTCCACAACGACTGTACTGTCAAAGCTGGCCAGGTGGCAGGTACACGGTTTGATCAGGCTGGTGTGACATTTGACACCTCTGAGTAGCCTGCATGCGTAGTGCAAGGGTTAGATCTACACCTAAATAGGCTAAAACACACCGGTACCCTGCTGTCTGAAGCGGTCTAGCACAAGCACAGCACTGTATTGTACACATCCAGAAAATGTGCGAACTGTCATTTTTCTATCCGAAATGGGCGCTACCCCCCTACCCCCGTTTCGAAATGCGTTACGTTTAGAAACAAAATGCGAACTTATGAGATGCTCCCTTATGTACTCTTGATCACATGTAATATGCACACGCATCATACCCACTGTTGTGGACATGGAAATCCGGTCGCACGTCTAGCGGCCTCAGGGCGCTGGCCATGCAGCCGTGGATAAGCGGTACGCACATGCTGCTTATGCGCAGCAGCGCGCTGGGCGCATCTGATCAACATGTGCCGGCCCTGCACGCAGAGTTCAGTACGCCCTGAGGGCGCCGGCCCCGGTCAATCGACCGGATTTCCATGTCCACGACAGTACGTAGCCCGGCAGCTAGTAATAGGCCATTCACACGAGGTGTAAACACTTGCACGTGTGTGACCAAGATAACACTGCGCCATGGCAAACCGTGATCCAGTTTACACGGTGCTGGGCAAACTTTGCAACCGTCAATGTATCCATAGAGACCTGAAAATGCCGGGAAATGTTAAATTTTGAATTTTCCGTTGTTCAAGCACTGCATATGCAGTACGCACTTTCAACAACCGACACTTTTCCTGGCGTGCAAAGATAATCACGAGCAAAAGGGCCTCGGCCAAGATAAAAGATCAGTTGCAAGCGTGTGTCTAAGTTTATCGTATCCGAGTAAATATCCTTTGAAACGGTACGATAAAAGTGAGTTTGCACGTCGTGTGAACGGCCTATTAGGCGATTCACACGACAGGCAAATCCACGTGTACAGAAAAGTCACCATGGAGATATTCCTGCGGGCGACCAAAATTTGTCCGCGGGAATCAAAAGTGTCCATGGCCTTTTTGCCCGCGGATGCACTCATCTGCGGGCACTTTCACAGTTATGAGTCTGTGAGGTCGTACTATCGTACGGTAGTCTTGAACCCTGGTTGTTTGGCCTTCGTCTTTGGGTACTCATTCCAAATCCCCACAGTAACGTCGTATACTCACCGGATACTCGCGGGAGCTCTGGCCGCCACCCGCCGTCGTGTGAACTGCAGCCTCACGTTTCACTTCCTGCGGGCACCTGGCAAACGTGGATTTGCCTGTCGTGTGAATCGCCTATAAAAGGGAGGTTTCGCTCTACGGAATTACGTATGAAAATAACGTAGGAACTGCACGTAATTTTCATACGTAAGAATCAGCGCTGTTGTCACGACGTTGACATGATGCTCAACGTCATGAGAATATTTGCACTGTAGTTTAACTGCCTGACGTGTACACAGTTGTTGGGTTTCGCTCTACGTAATTAATTTTTCTCCACCACTGCTAAACATCAAACATGCCTTGTTGCTTTGGAGACGCGTTGGCTGCATGCGCCCACCGCAGGCACCACGAACCGAAACCGCGTTTTCCATTTTATTTTGCACGTGGTGTACGGCCCGGTGTGTGGACCGAAGGCCTTGTGTTTCGCGCGACTTGAACGTTGCCATGGATAAATCCGGAAAATGCGAAAAAATATTTCAAAAAGTCCTACGGAGGACCCAACGTACGTACATGTAGGAAAGAGCTTTCCTACGGAAATCCGTGGAGAGATTTACGTATGAAAGTTGCCCTCACTCCCCGGCATACGGATTTTCATACGTAATTGTGTAGAGCGAAACCTCCCTAATGTTGCACTAAGATTAGATTCGCTAGCAGATTGTCGGATTCAATGACAGAATAGTTATTATTAAATAATAACTATTATGTCATTAACTGGTTTGAGGGAAAGAGACAAACGGGAAAAGTCTGAAGAAAAATTGACTGTCACCACCAGGACTCGAACCAGGGACCCTCGCTTGTAGCCAACGATGCTCTAACCACTGACATTGAAAAATAAATTTTATTTTTTATTTTTTTGACAAGTGCCTTATAGGGCTTGAAAGTGCTACGTCACAGCATAGCAACAATTTCAAAAATTCAAAAATTGGATCCAGTTTTTGTATGGATCCAAGCACATTTCAAGCCGTCTTACTCACAGCAAGGTGATGTAACCAGTGAAACTGACTGATTTGGCTACTGGGGGCGGGGTTACAACTGGCGGCGAAGTAAAAGTCACCCCTGCATACGACATGAGTGGGTTGCTATGCACCCGCATACTGAGGCAATAGCAAAGTCACACCTTAGTGGATCCAAAATAGAAATCTGATGTCAACTTAGTACTCCCTGGCCGTTTTGACGTCATCACTTTCAAGGCCTATTGTGACTGGATGTGTGTTTGCGTCGATTCTTGCGACCCAAAACTTACCTTCATTTTTTTTAATTTATACAAAGAGAAAGACCAAGGAACTACAAGTTACGCTATACTGTCCACTAACACCACCAGTTACTAAACAATCAGCTCATGCGATAACATTGCACGACACTGACCGACGGTACTGACGTTCTACAACTAACTGGCTAACAGCTCTAGCACATCTTGGATGCGCACTCCAACAGCCTTTCAACTTATTTCTATAACTTAGAACCTTCCAAGTTGGAAGGCTGTTGGAGTGCGCATCCAAGATGTGCTAGAGCTGTTAGCCAGTTAGTTGTAGAACGTCAGTACCGTCGGTCAGTGTCGTGCAATGTTATCGCATGAGCTCAGTAACTAGTGGTGTTAGTGGACAGTATAGCGTAACTTGTAGTTCCTGGGTCCTTTCTCTTTTTTTAAATTATTAATATTATTATTATTTTGAACTCGGATACTGAGCCAGTAATAAATTAATGTAAAAAAGAGAAGAAACACATGAGAACGAGTTATGCAGCAACTATCCACGACTGTAACAAGATGATAAACACAACGTAGGCTGTTGGTTTGCGCACTGGAGATGTGTTAGAGCTAGGTCTCGGGTCGCTGAACGTCTCAGTAGCCTGTCAGTTTTGTGCCATATTATCGCACTTTCTGACTGTTTATCATCTTGTTACAGTCGTGGATAGTTGCTGCATAACTCGTTCTCATGTGTTTTCTTCTCCTTTTTACATTATTATTTTGGTTGTTATGCTAGACCATGATTCATAGTGTAGTGCCCAATGCTGTACACAATGAAAAAGGACTTTTTTCTTGTCACTCAGAGTCTCGTGTCCTGAAACTATGACTCGAAACTCTGAGTAACAACAAAAAAGTCCTTTTCGGCTTGTGTACGCATTGGGTACAATACTTTGTGATCTAAAGGTCCCTGGTTCATTCCCGGGTTTCGGCACCACATTGTAACGGAATTACAGCCATTCCGTTCCCCGGCACGCAGGACACGCAGGACAGGACTAGTTTGTTTCCGTTATGATTATTGAAAGAACACATGACTCCCATGGGACGAACAAGAAGACTGACAAAAAGGACTCTCTACTACAACATCGCGCATGCTCATATCACACACGCACGCGACTAGACGAAGACAGTGTTCGGGGAATGTCATCACCCAGGAAAACAGGCACGTACACACACACACACACACACGAAACACACACACACACAAGTGTGCCCCCCCCTCCTCACTGCCTCGCACAAACACAAATGCACATGCTCACACCATAACCATCAAATTGCCGCAAGTATAACTCATGTCTCTACAAGCGCAACGACCAGGCAGACATGATTGACGGCCGAAAATCATTTCACTGAGTTCACTGTGCCTGCAGTGTGCAAATATCTCTGTGTGGAATGCATGCAGGCGTTGAATGTCAGCCAGTGTCAACGGAAACTCTACTACAACAGCTATTCCTATGCCGTGGAAACTGCCGCGGAACATCAGCATCATCATAATGATAAGATTCTGCAAAATATTTTACCAATCATGATAAACCAGGAAGCTCAACATGTACAAAATTAATTATTGCATCAGCCGTCCCTAAATCAAAAACACTATGATTGTCACTAGGCCGGCCCCACACTCACACGCTCACACACACACACACAGACACACAGACACACACACACACACACACACACACACACACACACACACACACACACACACACACACACACACACTTTGCGTGCACACATGCACAAGCCGGTTTCCGAAACCCGTAATGCCATACGTTACGACCATCGCATGCTATAGCCGTTGGAATCAAGCTGCGGGAAAAGCCGCCGGCTGCATTAACTCAGTCAGGATGGAGTTGTGCAAATGGAGCTTGAATGGAGGAAAGTGAATATATGGGAGAATAGCCGCGTGAAGTTGGACCGGCTTTGGCAGTGCAGAGCGCCTTCAAGTGCACAGGATCATGCTGTGAGCCGACGTAGTGCTGAAAACGGGACAGCTACAAGCCCTTTGCTGTCCATGCAGGGGTGTCACAGGGCAGTGGGGTGAGCTACGACCAGGGGTCGGGGGTGGGGGGATCGGAGGTCGAATTTTTCGGCCAACAGGGCACGTTTTAGCACCCAACAGGCACTCTGGGCGGACCATCGTGCACGGAAAGTAGCACGACCATGGGTATACTGGCTATACGGTGCGTGACGCCCCTGCCAGAGTGCTGAATCCTCCCTGACCACGGCAGTCATGACTGCGAGTGCAGTGCTGCAAACGGGACGGCTAGCCTTTTTGCTGTCCACGCATTACGGTAGCAGAGCGCTGAAGCCTCCACCATGGCAATCGTGACTGTGGCCTTTTGCTCAGTGTCCATGCATTACGGTAGCAGAGCGCTGAAGCCCCCACCATGGCAACCGTGACTGTGGCCTGGGCGTTCACGATCACACCACGGTCAGGTCGGAGGCTTTTAGCGCACGCCGGAAGTTCCGCTGAGTCTCAGACGTCACTGCGCAGAGGTGCACCTTACGTATCGTCATCGTCTGTCCGAACGTCGACTGGAAGACCTGGATGGCATCGACGATGCTGTCGGCGCTCTGACGCACCGAGTAGCCGAACCCACCGCAGCCGATCGCGGGCAGCGCTACGGACGTGCAGCGTAGGTCGTTGGCGCGCACCAGGGCGTGATAGACGGCGTCCTGCAGACTGAACGCCATGTCCTTCAGCAGGCCGACGAGCAGCAGGTGCTTGGCGTGCGGCAAGCGGTGGCCGGCCGGGAAGTGTTCCACGGCGTTGGGTAAGATCCACTGCTGCGACAGGTGCCGGTCAATGCAGTCGTATACGTCGTTTCCGGCCGCGCGCACCACGCCCAACGCCAGGTTCCCCTTCAGCTGGTGCGAGTTGGCCAGGACGGAAATGACCAGCGCGTCGACCTCCTCTCCGATGATGTCACCCTTGGAGAAGTGCACAGCGAAGCCAGGTCGCACGGCTTCCGCGCCGGCCATACAGCTGCTGCTGTTGTCCCCGTTTTCGGCCATTGCTGTAGGAAGAGTAATCACAAACACACATACTTTCACTTACACATGCCCGGCATCGTTGAAGCGATGATAGCGAACAAGCTATGCTAGACATGGCAACTTGTGCCGCACGCCATTCGACATAAGCCTGATGTACACTAACAGCTAAAAAGAAGTGGCTTATTCCAGCCTTCTCAGTCTGGCCAGTGAATTCCTACTTAGGGGCATGATCCGTAAATATAGATATTTATTTAGAAACGAAAACTAGTCGTTTAGGGGGGGGGGGGAGGGGGTTGAGCGCTTGTTCGTTTCTCAAAAAATATCGATGTACATTTTGCATGCGTGAGCATGTCCAGAAAAAAAAGATCAAAAATATCGATACTATGTACCATTTGTATGTGTTCGTTTCTCAGGGAGGGGGTTGAAGAGAAACGACTAGTTTTCGTTTCTAAATAAGTATCGGTATTTACGAAAGCCCCTTAGTTTTCATTTTTTCATTCATTACTTTTTTGACACACACCCCACACCACATACTCCGGCATGCACTGGCTGTTGGTAGCCACACACACACACACCTCAGACCTCAGACATGCCCATCGCGGAAGCGATGATAGCGAACAGCTATGTTAGACATAGCAACTTGTGCTGGGATTACAACATTCAACAGCTTGCAAGGCTGATGAATTGACCGCCACTATTTTTAGCTTGGTATCCACCACAGCTGTTTGAAGTGACTTTTTCTGGCCAGTGAATCCCTATTTTCACACACACACACACACACACACACACACACACACACACACACACACACACACACACACACACACACACACACACATACACACCTGCACACACACACACACACACACACACACACACACACACACACACACACACACACACGTGCACACACACACACATACACACACACGTGCACACACATACATGCACACACACACACACACCATCACACACACACACACACACACACACACACACACACACACACACACACCACACACACACACACACACACACACACACACACACACACACACACACACACACACACACACCACACACACACACACACACACACACTCAACCGTGAACGTTCATTGTCTTTTCTGCAAGTACAGTGAAACCTGGTTAAGAAGAACACTGATAAGACAAACTTTCGCTTTAGAAGAACTAGTATTCCTAGCTCTATTGGATAAATCACTGTGTATTCACTGGGTATAAAATATGGATAAGAAGAACTCCCGTTATTGCGAACAAATACCATCGGTCCCTTGGTGTTCGTCCTAAAGAGGTTTGACTGTACATACAGAATTAAACGATCCCCAAAGGAATGCACAGACGAGACAAGCGTTTGATGTGGGTATAAACGTTAGATCAATTTTACCTTCAGGCTTAGCCCACTTTGCTAATAACCGTTACAGCGGCCGAATACTGAATAGAACGTCACGTCAGGACCCAGGAGACGTACCGTTTACTAGTACGCTAGTATCGATAACAAGACTGAGTTGCAAAGTGCTAAGCTGTTACTTCTTGCCTCGAACTGTTACTTGTTTGGATGGATTACCACGCGCCGCTCGAACGAGTGCACGCCACTGGTCACGGCGTCGATCCGTTTCTAGCCGCTACTGCTCCCGTTCAGCAGAGTAGGAGGGAGCTACATGTCCTAAAATTTCTCCCTGAGCACTCCAATAGTCAATACACATTCCTGATATGACATAATTATGCAATCACTACACTCACGATCTAGTCCAGCCACGTCCGCACAGGGTTGGCTGTGGCGAGCCAAAGCAGAGCGTTTTGACCCGAGAAAGACCTGGACTACGGAGCAGTCACACAGAGACTGACTGTAGCTACGCAGAGCTTTTGTGCTTTATATTTTGAACTCCTTGAGTTTATGCACTCCGATCCGATCATGGCACTATCATTAGTATGACAAAGCTAAAGGATCTGCATGTACTGATGATGTAGGCCCCGGAGATCGAGAGTCGTGAAAACCTTTCCCTTCATCATCACGATCACTATAGACACTACATCATGTAGTCTACAAATGTTGTTCGTTCAAGACATTTTTACTTGTAGACAGTGTACCATGGTGTACATGTAAAAGTAAAATTTGATGTACCGGTAGTACTTGTGCGCTGAGCCCTGAGCAGTAGCCAGTCTAGTATGTCAGCCACCTGGCACATGTGCTCATCTGCATGTCATACTCATAGCCTGATGATTCATGAAGCGAAGCGAAGGGCCAAGGGCAAGGGATCATCACCATTCACACATGTACCATACTACGGTCCATAGTGTGAAGATCTACTCTGCGCGCTCCGCCGCTCCCGGAGTCGACCCGGACCGTCTGTTCGCATCGGGGATCACGGATTAGATGTGGAGGTTGTACATCATGCCATGGACATGGTGCTCACTGCTCATTCAGTCATTGCTCAACACAGCTCACTAATCACTAGACGTCACAGAAATGAACTTAATAGTAGTGTTGCTTCACACGGTTAACACCAGGGAGTCGTAATACGACTCGACTCCCTGGTTATCACCAGGCACCGGAAGTACAGCTCCCTCGACTCGTACTTAGTTGGAGTGACGATGACCTACATTATTACTATTACTTATTACTATTAGGGCCACATACATGTAACACCTTTATCTAGTGGGCTGTACTAGCCGTGTCATTTTGTATTCGTATTTATGTATTCTCCACAGGCCTTAGCCTAGATCGAGGGAGTATCGATCTCCGTCAACAGCTTATGAAGAAGAAGAAGCTGAGGAGAAAAAGAAAAAAGAAAGACGCGGGGTAGTAGCTCTGACATCGCTACTCTACGTGGAATGAATCCAGAGCAGAGGGCTAATGGGGATTTTGGGGCTCGAACCCGCGACGTCTCTCGCCGTCTCGGTTCGCACATCACTTCCGGAGTAACACATCGTGTGCACCTCTGGCATGGCAGTCGTGTCACCCAACAAAACTCAACACGACTGATCAGTGATCACACAGCATGGGGCTGTGTTCCCCAAAATGGACAAAACAAATTGAATACAAACAAGAACACGATCGATCAGCAACAAACGCACAGGAGGGAAGCGAAAAATGGCAACTACGACTCGTAAGCGTCACTTGCTCATGATGAGTGCTACTTCTCACACGCTCTACGGCTCTAGTTCCCGCTGAGAACCGTGCTTCTTTGCTGACCAAGAACTTCAAAAAGTGCATTCTTTCCTCAGCCAACGTTTGTTCAACCTGAAGCGGCCGACAGCGAAACCAAGTTCCTACACGAAACAGCCCAACGACATTATTCGTAGCGATGCAAGTCCGTTCAAGGAGTGGTCCTTCGCTTATTTCCTTAGAAATCCAGACCGAGAATAGAAGTCAACTACCAGCTGTGCAGCTGTTTTTCCCGCAGGCAACGCTTGTCTATTGCTGATCTCTTCTCTTCTCTAGAAGCTGGCGAGGTGTTTCCCGACTGGCCATCATCCAGAGGCGCGCTAGACAGAATCAAGGTATGGTCCTTTGCTGCCTTTTGCTTGCCTCAGCCTGCATGTCCCGGAGCTAGACGACACTCTGGAGCTGCTATTACTCAACAGCCCCTTCGGACATTGAACAGGTATGCTGCGGGAGTATTCGGCCACTTTGTCGCAAGACCTTCCAGTCAGCTCTAACCTATGCCGTTGTCAGCGCCCCCGCTCGACGCTACTCGGGCAAACCGTTCTCTATGTGGGCACGGGAGAATTATTTTTACCGGAGTGCGCGAGACTGCAGCTTATCTTGGACGAAGGTGCTTGAGGTGTCACAGACTGGATCATCGTGGGTTGAACTAACTCCCTGCACAAGGAATATCAGCTAAACTCAGGGTCGGCAAAGGTCGGCACGCTTGCTAGCCCGACGGGGACCCAGGAGCACCTCCATTCCATTAGGCTCCAACACTATCGCGCCGGATCACAACCAGTTCGAAGGCCTAGCTGTCGAGGACCCGGCCCGATGAGCTGGATTCCGACCCGGTGCAGCCAACCAAGCCCAAGGACCACTACAGTTGCGCTCGGTGAAATCCGACGGAAAGTGCAAAGCTGGCGCCGTGGACCAATTCCCTTTATGATTAGATGGGATGTAACTGAACTGTACTGTGACTGAAGTGAAGCATGCCACACGTTCGTCACAGACTTCCGTCATCACCAGATATTCGGAGGGGATTTGCTAACGGCATGTCAGGACACCCGGAAAGCCATGGCATGGGTCGCCGGTAATAAGCCAGATGATAATATTATGACGTCCCAACTGGGCAACCGTGGCTCGGTGGAAAGCGAATCACAATCGGGGGTAAGTCTGACACTGTATTCAGGATCAACTTCCCGTTGAAACTCTGACAAATTCTCCCATCTAGTGCCTGCATGCCATGAGCCAAGATGCATATGGGGCCAAGGGTGTCGTGGCAAGGGTGTCTGTAGCTAGTAGCTCAGCCTACTGCAAGGTTCTACCCCCCCCCTCCCCGCCCCTACTCTGATCGAGCGCCCTCCTGTGAGAAACTTGTCCCCTATTCTAAATGCAGTCGATAGTCACTAACAGAGGCACAGAGGGTTCGAAAACCGGGCACTTGTGTGGTATGGGGTGAAGTTGGGGTACGTTGCATTTTGGGTGAAAAGACAATTTTGGAAAAAAACGGCTTACGGGATAACTGTTTCTCCTGCCACCATATTCTGCAATTGTATTTGTCTGGCTATCCTGTTGTTTTCCGAGGCGATACAGTCAGACCTCGTTTAACCGCGCACATCCGTTTTCCACAAAAAATATCCGGGTAGGCGAGGGAACCGGATAATTGAACACACATACTGTATGTATGCATGAGATACGGTGACCGACGATTTTCTTCCGGATGACGACGAGGGATCTGGATAAGAGAGGTCTGACTGTATACTCCTTTAAACCACAGGTTGGAATGGGCCCTTGAACCACATTCATGGCGTCGCGTATATGACATTGTGTTGTCACACGTTGAAAAACGTTCAGCTCTTCTGCAAACCGTTCGCAGTGTGAATTTGGTCCTCAATAATATGTTTTTTTTCCGCTCCCATAGGTCACCAGATCAGTGGCGGCCATTCCATCTCTCTGGATCCCAAAAAGATCACGAGCAGCTACCCCGGAATGGTTAGCTATGGCGTCCATGAAGGAGGTAAGAGAGTTACTTTGTTTTGCGAACTACTGGAAGGGGGAGGGGCGTCTTCATCAATAGAGAGGTTAAGATGCATGCTATATCTGACGTGACGCGAAACTTCAGCTCGTGTTATTTGGCTCGCGCGTTTAAAAACAATGCGAGCGACCTGCAGCTCGCATCGAAATTTTGAGTTTAACGCCAAATTTGACGTGAAATTGCGCGTCGCGTCAGAAATAACGCGCATTTTATTATTATATATATATTTGAGGATTTCCCAAAGACGTAGTCTAAATTGAAGGGAGTTCCATTACAATGGGAGGCTGTAGGGTTGAGATAGCAGACAGTGGAGGGCTAATAATTCGTAATGAACAGCCTAGCAAGAGAAATACAATTATGCTGAATGTTCCAGAATGGTCCTTTAATTAATGATACCTATAGCCTCGGGGTATGCCTTGAAATACGAAATGTACCGAAACAGAAACACAAAAATTAATAAGAATAAGCGCAACGCACAAAGAAGGAGGACAGAGGCATGTCAGTGCGGAGTGGCATTGTGTTTGGTGTCAGAGAAGTGCGTGCAAATGTGACTGTGAAACAGGGACTGCGAGGCTGTGGCTCTCAGGTCTGCGGGCAAGGCATTCCAGACAGTAGCGGTGCGGAAGAGAAATGACCTCCCGGCGTGTTTCCCAACCCGTGGCAGAGTGAATGCGAGTTGGCGGCGGCGACTACGCGTGGGGCAGTATCCCGCTGCTTCAAAAAGTTCTGGTTGGGTGGTGACCAAATGGAAGAATTCCATAAGGCAGGCGATCTTCCTGCGCCAGGATAGATTTGGCCACCCCAGCTGTTTAAACAATGATGACTTGGGCTCGTCTGATGGGCAAGGGCATCTCTCAAGCCGCATGACTGTGCGAGCTACTCTGGCTTGCAGCCGTTCAAGGGTGAGCCGCTGTGCAGCAGAGAGGGAGGACTCCCATACTGGGGCGGCGTATTCTGCTGTGGGGCGGACATACGTAAGGTACAGCTTCCTGACGATGTCTCCTGTTAAACGGTCAGCCATATGGCACAGAAGAACGCAGCGCTGTCTAAACTTGCTTATTGTCTGTTCAATATGCTCCTGGAAGCTAAGTGTTTCACTCAACAACACTCCCAGGTGACGGTGACTGGTTGACGGCTGGATACCGCGGATGGTCTCTGCAGCTCCTTCCTCAGCGAATGAGATAACAACGGTTTTCGATGGGTTGAAGGTTCCGCCTACTCGGTCGGCCCAGGCAAATGTGTCCTGCAGGGCAGTCTCCATTGGGCTGGTACCTTTGGTTCGTGCTTGGCCGACGGCGGTGTCATCCGCGAACAGGTAAACATCAGCGTGCTGGTTGCGTTTCGAGGCTCTGGGTAGGCTGTTGATATGTACCAGGAAAAGCAATGGCCCGAGGTGGGAACCCTGGGGTACTCCAGACTTGACGGGACGTGGGGAGGACAGATGGTGTTGGACTTGGACGCTGAATGTACGCGTATCGAGGTAGTTCTTAAACCAACTCGTAGCCGGAGCATCGCAGATAGTCCCGAGTTGCTGGAGAAGCACGTCATGCGGCACTTTATCGAAGGCCTTCGCAAAATCGAGAAATGCAGCATCGTAAGGGATGCGTTTATCCATGGTCGATGCGATCTTAGTAGTGAGCTGTATCAGCTGGTCAACTGTGGAGCGATCACGGACAAAGCCGAACTGTTCCGGGACAATGATGTTGTTGACCTCGAGATAGTGACCGAATTTGGTGGCGACAATCTTGTCTAGTGCTTTCGCAATAGCTGGGAGTAGGGTTATAGGGCGGTAGTTGGAGGGATCACACGGGTTACCTTTATTTTTAAATATGGGGATTACTGTTCCCAGCTTCCAGGCACTAGGAAACTCACCTAAGGTGAGGCTAGCGTTAAACAGGTTGGTAACAGAGGACGTTATACAAGGTGCGATCTCTCGGAGGATCCTGTTCGAGATGTTCCCGCCTGTTGCCTTATGCTGCGGGAGCCTTCGGAGCACCCGGTACACTGAGGATTCGGCCAAGACTGGCAGAGAGAATAATTCATTCGGACAGTCGTCGGCTGGTGCTGGTATTGGACCTGTACCGTGAGCAGGAGTGCACTGGCGCTCAAATACCTTCGCGAACATTTCTGCTTTCTCTGGTTCGCTCTGTGCCGTGTAGCCCTCACACGTTAGGTCAGGAACTTTATCTTTCTTACAGGAGATGTTGGCAAGTGTCTTGGCTTTCTTCCACCAAAGGTGGGCATCTTGCTCATCGTGAATATTCTCACTGAGGCGCTTGAAGTACAGGGTCTTGGCATTTCGTAACTGGTTCTGATATGCATTCCTCTGGGCCTTGTAGGTTAACCAGTATGCTACTGTTTGGTGGCGCTTGGCGGCACGGAAAAGACGCTGCTTCTGGCGATGAAGGTGATGCAGATGCGGGGTGAACCAAGGCTTGGTTTGCTGTCTTCGAGATGAAACTCGTCTGTACGCTCAGCAGCTGGCAATGGCTTGTGTGATGCATGACTCCCATGCCCACCACGCACTCTCGATGGTGGAAGCACCGAGCATACACTCCCGGAGTGGAAGAGATGAAAGTTTCTGTCGTAGAGATTGAAAGTCAGTGTTCGCGTAGTCTGGTACAAAGCGGGGCGGCGGGTGCTTTGGGGTGTGCTTTCCTGAGAGATATTTAAAGATTATGGGACAGTGGTCTGATAGCGGATCTAGGACTTCAAGGTCGGATATACGATGCTCTGCGTCTGTGATAACCAGGTCGAGAAGTGATGACTGGCTACCCGTAGCTGAGTATCGCGTTGCGGTGTTTCGGACAATTTGCTGTAGTGCAAGGTCGTCTAACAATCCTGCTAGCTGTTTGCCCTCTGCCGTATCAACATCTGTTGCGTTCCACTGTCGGAGTTTGGCATTGAATGCACATACTAACCTCTCTACTGACCAACCTCTACAGTTTCAGAGCACCCTTATAAGGGAAGCATGCCCATTTATAAGGTATGGAATAATAGCACTGCGGTCGACCCGGTCAGGTGCTGGAGAATGAAAATGCTAGAGTTTTACCAGCAGGCGCAGGATAAACAGTATGTACACGGTGGCTCAACTTTATACAGTGGTAGTCACTGGTGGTCACTTTATAATCCGGCACCAATTGTGCTACGGAAATTCTGCTGCCATTAGGAGAGGGTGCTGGATTAGCAGATCTGGGCGCCCCCCCCTCCCCTACACTGTTTGCACGCCCCCTGTGAAAAAGTGCAGCCCCCTACTCATTTCCCGATTTTTGTGTTTTTCAGGCCAGATCACGAAAATGCAGTCGATAGTCACTACTAGCGGGTTCATAAAGGCACATTTGTCTGGGGTGAAGTCGGGGATTGCTCCGTACGCTGCATTTTGCATGGCAAGACAATTTTTGGAACATGGAAAAATGGGTTTCGTGGTAACTGTTTCCCATGCCTGCCCCCCCCCCCTACTATTTTGACCTGGCTAGAACCCTGGGTATGACAGCAGCCCTCCCGGCGTCCATCTTCAAGAAGGACACAATAGAGAATGAGTGGCACTGCTGGCATTCAAGTGGCATTCAGCCAATGTTCTCAACTTTTCACCAGCATCCATGCAAGGAAAACGTGTGCCCCCCCCCCCCCCCCAACCAACTGCAAGACGCTGTTACACTCGAAGCATATCATCCGAAGATTGATGTAATACGAAACAAAATACTGATTCGAGACGAGATAGGCAGAAACTGAAAGGACAGGTGCACTTTTACCCGCAATGCATGGTCAAAACTCCAAACAACAGCAAATAAATATGCAAGGAATAGTGAAAAGTCTTAGTAGTACAAACGCAAAAAAGTACAGAGAAATCAACAACGAAACATATACCATAAATTGTAATCGGAGCGGAAGTTTATGTGTCAGTACGGAGAGTACGTCATTTTCTCACAGGCGTTCAAAAAAAGCAGAGCAAAGCAAGTGATGCAAGAATAGTAGTGCAGGGCTGGTGGGGAATAAGAGAAATTAGTGTTGAACGTGAGAGATTATTCGTTCTTCAGTCGTCATTGTCTACATACGGAGATGAGAGCAGCTGTATATAGGCTGCTGTTGTTGTTGTTACTGTTGCTGCTGCTGACGCTGCTGGTGTTGCTTGCGCGTCGCCGCCAACAAGAACGGTGTGGCGTTTAGTTGATGAGACCGACCTTGTCGTCCGTGCCACCGTCCGCTCCTTGCATCTTGTACGGATCCTGGTAGAGCGGATTGGACTGCGACGGTGCTGGTTGCTGTATAGCGCAAAACACAACACACGAACAAACGTACACACACGTATGCCACGCAAAAAAAGAAGAAATTCGTTGTTACTCCAAGTGTCGTGCAAGATCACTCGCCGGGCAACTTCATAAAGCTGTAAATATATTTAAACAAGACGAGGAGGAAGTTTTCCTTTAGGGGTCGTCGCAAAAGTTTTTTTTTTGTCATCCCTGAAATGAACATCATTCGTTTGGGAGGGAGAGGGTGCGAGCCAACACCTTTTGTGTTTAAACAAGACATCACAGTGAGTGGGTATAGTGAGTGCCAAATGCTGCTGTGTTTGATAATTGCTGATAGGGTATGCGTGAAACTTGAAATTACAGCTACACACCCTTCTGCCTCCGTTGTATGTGTATGTATGTGTTATGTGTGTGTTTAAACAAGACTTCACTACAGATGATGATGTACTGACCCCGCGTCGAGCGTCGAACATGTCCGACGACATGCTGACATCGTCCAGTCCGTCGTCGTAGTTACTGCCAATGCCCAGGTTGACCTGTCCGCCGTCACCGCCATACATGCTGTACACGGGGTTACCCACGGCCAGAACCGTGTCGTCGTTGGAACTTCCCGATGGCGGCGGTTGTTTCCTGCGCGTGTGCAACAACAGAACAGCAACAAGCAGGCGTTTTTTGAATTCGTATAATAAGAGGAAAGACCATGCGTGCGTTGCAACAAGCAAATGTTTTCGATTGTTACGGTAAGTGAAGGACAACAGCAACAACCAAACGTTTTGAATTTTTGTATGGCTTGGCTTTGCTGGTGGTGTGCGTTGGCAACGTGTCAACATGTCAAGGTCGGCTGCAGAGCGCAGTCGTGGTGCGTTGGATGATGGAAAAGTTCTTGACCAATGTTAGAGGTTTCCTCAAACACATTTTCAGATCTCATCTTCAGGTTGTCCAACTGCCCTGCTTTGGACCAGAACATTCATATACACCACTTTTTCTTCTTCTTTCTGCAGCTGGAAGACTTTCTGCAGCTGGAAGACTTTCTGCAGCTGGAAGACTTTCTGCAGCTGGAAGAAGTGCAGCGCCATCAGCAAGCAAAGAGAAAATTCTAAATCCTGGCTCTACTCTGATTGGCTGATGGGCGGTTGACCAATGAAAGGATTGGCAAACCGCCCTCAGCCAATTTGAGAGTTCAGCAAGTGTTTTCTTCTTGGCTTGCTGCGCCTTGATCCAAGAGGGTGGTCTCACGCGAACCGTGATTTTTTTGCCGAATTCTTGTTATTTCTGTTTGAGGAGGGAGAGACAAGCCGGAAAATTCTGCCGGAGAAGAAAATCTAAAATTCGGGACACAATTGCCTTTGCATGCATTGTATACGGGTGCTGCTCTGCTTTGAAGCGGGAGTGGCACGGTTGGACAGACTGCTGCCATTTCCGTGCTGCCTTCTCTATACATATACGCATGTACACTGTACAATGCGCCGTATGTGCACCTTCATATGTCTGAAGGTTTGTGGTTTTCAACAAAAACAACAACAAAAAAAGCATCTTGCGCCACAGTGGCACATGTACTCACTTGAGTGATCGTCGGTAGAGCAGAAGCATGACGATTGCTATGGCGATCATGACACACACGCCAATCACCACGGCAACGGTGGCACCAGTGCTGAGACCTGGGAGCGAGGAAAGGAGAGAGACACCAAGACACGCACACGCAACCACACAGTCAAGCAAACGTCACTGCACGGCACTGCACAGCACTGCACAGCACGTCCATTTCTATAATAATAATTACACCGCTTGCATGTCTTTATTTCGTCTGAGTGTTTTTTGAAACATGAAACTCAGAGTTACCGTTGTTCTGCCCCGTGTGTCTTTATTTCTATACATTTCCTCATATAATTTTCTTCATCTTTCTGTGAGAACCGGTGAGAAGGCAATCATGCCTGTGCAATTGGTGAAGTAAAATAAAAGTCAACAACAACATCCAACTTTTGGGGTGATAAGAATAGCCAGGGGAAATTCATGAATGGATTCAAAAACGATTCGCGGGTAAAATCGAGCAGTCCTCACTGACAAGAGAGCAGGTACATGCCGGTCAATATGCCCATTGTGCATTGCCAAATATGGAAGGTATGAGTAATGCATGTGAGTACGCTGGGATCAGCAATGCACTGTTCAACACCCCCAGACGACCATGCCCAGGTGCAGGTGGCTGTGTCAGCCTGTGTGGGGTATTTAAAGTACAAATTACGTCATTGTGCAATGGACCCCCCCCCCCCCAACCAACTTCATTATGCAGTGGGTTAATTTTAAAAGTCATTGTGCAATGGGTTACATCATTGTGCAATGGGTTACGTCATTGTGCAATGGGCCGATCGGTGGTGCGATATGAACTTACCGTGTGAGGTAGACTGAGCTGCGTTGTTTCCGGGGGCCTCCTTGGCTGTGTAGGGGTACGGCGGAAACAGAAACAGACCGACCGACAGAGAGAGACACACACGAGCATGCACACACACACACACACACACACACACACACACGCACGAACAGACGCACGCACGGATGCATGAACACAGCAGCACACAGCGCAAAGAAGCAGAACAGAAAATCGATAACGGAGACGTTTTAAACATAACAATGTCTGGACGTGCCTGGGAGTTGCACTGGTCAAAGTACACGTATTCGGTACTACGTTACCCTGGTTGCCATGGCAAAGCCAGTGAAATTTCAAATACACATGCCGGTGTCCTGAAGATGGGCATGGCCGAGAGACCGTTTGGCGCAGTGGTGGATGATGATTGTACGAGACATACCGGTGCATTCATCTGATCTTCTACACCCCATGGTGTCTGTATGTTCGTGTGAATACTCCCTCTCTTTTCAATACGACACCACCAACTCGCAACACACAAACAGTCCTCAGCTTCACCGCGTACAATGGTCGTTTCCAAATTCAACCCAGGCAGCCCTCCCTCCCGCCCTCCCTCCCTCCCGCCCTCCCGCTCACTCACCCGTCGTGGTTTGGACGTTCTCGTTCGTGGTCGGCGGGAACTGCGTCTCCTGCGTGTTGACCGGCGTCTGCTGTGGTGTCTGTCCGCTAGTCTCCGGGCCCAGCGTGGGTCCAGTGCCCGGGACGCCAGCGGTGGTGGGTAGCGATGAGAAGATAGTCTTCTCGCAGCGCATGCCGCTGTATCCGGGTGGACAGGCACAGGTGGCGTTGGCACCGGCGGGCACCGAGCAGGTACCGCCGTTGACGCAGAACAAGTAGTGGCAGCGATCTGGCAGTGCCACCGCGGTAAACACACACACACACACACACACACACACACAGATGCACATACACAGACACACATACAGATGCACACACACAGATGCACACACACACATGCAGATGCACAGATGCAGATGCACAGACATACACACAGATGCACATACACACACACACACACACGCATACACAAACAAAAACACACGTACACGACGGCACACAGACATACACAATGTGAACACAACATGGTTCATCAGTTCGGGGGCCACTTCGGAGGCGCCAAAGCCATATGTTTGATCCCCTCCCCTGCCTCTCCATCTTCCACACTCAGCCAGAAAATATAAGACCATGTCAAACTGCGCTACCAAATTGCATGGAGCTACACACAGGGTAGGAACAAGACAGAATCCAGAATACTTCACCAAGTACTGTGTGCCATGCTCAGATCTGCACATGCAATCCTCAGGTGTGTAGCCCGCATGGAACACGGGGAGCACATATATGCGGCTGTGCACTCTGAACTGGGCAGAGTTTGATCCCGAGCGGGGTCGGGTCCCGGGCAGGGTCGGATCCCGGGCAGGGTTGGATCCTGGGCAGGGTCGGATCCCGGGCAGGATCGGGTTCTGGGCAGGATCAGGTCCTGGGCAGCGTTGGGTCCTGGGCAGGGCCGGGTCCTGGATGGGGAGTAAGAGAGCGGTGTATGTTACTTACTGCCACATGATGACTCATCGGAAGCGTCGGAACACTGCGGTACTCCGTCACACTGTTGGCTGGTAGGTAGACAGTTACCCGACGTGGCACACTGGAATTCATTAGCCTGGCATACACTGACACCTGCATAGAGAGTGACACAACACCAGGAAAGTACAGAAGTGAGGGACAGGAGAGAGAGAGAGAGAAACAGAGAGAGAGAGAGAGGGAGGGAGAGAGAGAGAGAGAGAGGGAGAGAGAGAGAGTGTGTGTGCATGTGTGTGTGTGTGTGTGTGTGTGTGTGTGTGTGTGTGCATGTGTATGTGTGTGTACGTGTGTGTATGTGTGTGTGTGTACGTGTGTGTGTACGTGAACAGTCAACTACATGTACACATGACATGTGCCGTGAATAATGTCGCTGACAAGCACAATGTCTGTACCCCCACACACATAAACGCACGCGCAAATATGCACGTGCACACACATGCACAGACGTGCATGCATGCATGCACACATACACACACACACACACACGATACACACACTGTCGCACACGTATCTGACCTCGGCAGGAGTGGAAAGAAATGTCATCCAGTGCGATGTCCCCAGAGAAGGTCTGGCCGCGCTCCACCACAAACTTGATCTGGTAGCTGGTTGCTGCGGGGATGCGGAGAGTGGCCTTACGCCACACATCACCTTGGTTACCGCTCAGTTGCCATAGTTGCGTGGCCGTGCTTCCAACCACCACAAACACCTGAAGGGCAAAGCAGAGAGATGGTGAGAGAGAGAGAGAGAGAGAGAGAGAGATGGTGAAATTTAGAGTGTGAATAAGAAAGTGTGCATGTGTGTATGGTAGTGGCGGGGGCGGAGGGACATATGGGCAGAGAGACAGACAAAATGGGGTCACCTGTACCACAGATTAAATAGCCGAACCGCAAAACCGGAGCAAGGCTTGCTACTGACGAATGTTTATCCTTTGACCAGATTGGTCTTCTCCAAACATAACAGGGAGAGAGAGAGAGGTGGAAATTGAGCGCCCATTCCACACACGCATACACACAAACACACGTATGCACACACACACACACACACACACACACACACACACACACACACACACACACACACACACACGTCGTACCTGAAGCGATCCAATGGACTGTCCAAACATGTGATAGTAGAACTCCATGGCGCAGTGCGTCGACAGGGCGGGGTACAGCTTGCTGGTCAGAATGGCGCGGGCACGCTCGTTCTTTGCACCACTGACCTCGGCGTACACGTAGAAGCCTAAACACACGTGCACACACACACACACACATGCACATACACATATACATTGTAGAGAGTTTTAACTCGCGTGCTAAGAGTCTCAGACACCATCTATTTGGTTACGTTGACTACCTGGTAAAGACTCAAGAACTGTGCAATATGTAGGAAAGGAGTTACTCATACACCAGAACCTGCCCTAGTGGATACCACAGAATAAAGGACACCCAGAACAATTGACATCCCTCAACAAAGGATCCATTGAAAAGAACATGCCTGAGCAAATAACACCATCTGGTTAAAGCAAACATACACACACACACACACACACACACACACACACACACACACACACACACCACACACACACACACACCACACACACCACACACACACACACATCCACTGCTGTGGACGCACGCAAACACATTGGCAGGATGAAGAGCTCACCGTTGCCCTTGGTATGATCTGTAGTGGGTCCGGTGTTACCAGTGGGTGTTCCCAGTCGATCACGCAGCCATGGAATGGTGTTGGCGGATGAGCTGGTTGTGCTGGACGTCCAGCCGCACCAGCCATTCTCAAAGGTGCATTCGTCGTATTTGGCTGCACGAGAAACAAGCACACGCACGTAGAGAAGTACACATGGACGCACGCACACACGCGTGCACACACACACAAACACACACATACAGGGATATGTCACAATGCTGTGAATTGGACCGGTTCACAAGTGCACGGATCCGCACATAAGCAGGATCCACGTGGACCAAAGAATCATGGTTGTCATGGCAGCAAAACATAGCATGCAAAGGGCCTGGCTACACTGGTTAAACAGGCGACTCACTTCCAGGAGTGACGGGTGGTACGTAGCTGGCGTCACCTGAGCAGAGGATGAGCAGAACACAGCACAGGAAACACATCAATCTGAGCACATGAACACAAACACGGGGCCATGGCCGAAACTTTTGGTGAACAGTTCAAATGACGTCTGCAGCAAAGAGACTGTATTTGGCGTGTTTGTGTTGAGCTACCCTGGTATTATCACATTGAGAAAACCATATACTTGCCAACCTTTGCAAACGTGAGGTCGGGACAATGACATACCTAGGTATGAAAATGTGTAAAAACTAAAAACGTAGCTGTGAGGCCTGCGACAAATGCACTTTTGGGTGCCTATCACATGTACTACCCTCGATATCACGACGGTCCCGGCCAAATCGGGGTGGTTGGCATGTACAGTAAAACCTGTAAGTAAAGACCGCCGTCACTAGCGACCAGCCTGGTACTACAGTAAAACCTGTAAGTAAAGACCACCGTGACTAGCGACCAGCCTGGTACTACAGTAAAACCTGTAACTAAAGACCACCGTGACTAGCGACCAGCCTGGTACTACAGTAAAACCTGTAACTAAAGACCACCGTGACTAGCGACCAGCCTGGTACTACAGTAAAACCTGTAACTAAAGACCACCGTGACTAGCGACCAGCCTGGTACTACAGTAAAACCTGTAACTAAAGACCACCGTGACTAGCGACCAGCCTGGTACTACAGTAAAACCAAGAGTAGATAAACAAGAGTGTGCAACTCCGGATCTCTCCTGCACAATCTGCAGATACCCCGCGCCCACGGCGGAATTTTTTGTTTACGTCACCTTTTTTCAGAGAAACGCGGATTTTGCCGCAGAGCAGTGTGAGAGCACGTGCTGGGCACCGACCATGTACTGATGATGTAGTGTAAAGCCCAGCCAAGTGCACGAGGGAAAACTCTCCAAAAGGCTCGCAGCGCGTGCGTCGTCGAAAAGATTACGTCAACAAAAAATTCCGCCGTGGGCCAACCCATCCGCGAGTTGCACACTCTTGTTTATCTACTCTTGGTAAAACCTGTAACTAAAGACCACCGTGACTAGCGACCAGCCTGGTACTACAGTAAAACTTGTAACTAAAGACCACCGTGACTGGCGACCAGCCTGGTACTACAGTAAAACCTGTGAGTAAAGACCGCCGTGACTGGCGACCAGCCTGGTACTACAGTAAAACCTGTGAGTAAAGACCGCCGTGACTGGCGACCAGCCTGGTACTACAGTAAAACCTGTGAGTAAAGACCGCCGTGACTGGCGACCAGCCTGGTACAACAGTAAAACCTGTAAGTAAAGACCACCGTGACTAGCGACCAACCTGGTACTACAGTAAAACCTGTAACTAAAGACCGCCGTGACTAGCGACCAGCCTGGTACTACAGTAAAACCTGTGAGTAAAGACCGCTGTGACTAGCGACCAGCCTGGTGTACTACCGACCACTTCGCCAGGCACGGACGGTCTCACATTCATATAATGGTTGTGCGGTGCAAACCTCTAACTAAGGACCACCTGCCACTAAAGACCGCTTTCTCTGGCCCCAACGGGTGGTCGTTAGTCACAGGTTTTGCTGTGCGTTACTATTGCGGGGTGAGTGTGTGGTGAGTTGAGACTTACGGCAGCACATGACACCGTCAATGATGCCTGGTGGTGTGGAGCGGCAGCCATCGGACGATCCCGTAAAGCCGGTCGGGTAGAAACTCATCTTGGGCCAGAAGCCGCTGTCGCACGAGTCCTTGCCTAAAGTGTCACGGGGCACACGCACGCACACACGTGATACACACAGATGCACGCGTGCACACACACACACACACACACACACACATAAACAACGTAAAAACGAGAGTAACAGTGCTCTCCCAGGAACACTAGCCGACTTGAGTGCATTGAAAAGCCGGTAAGAAAGCTTGTGTTGCGACAAGATAGCAAGGCAATCTTTGTTTATTTATTTGTTTATTTGTTTATTTTTAATTTACGTCACCAGATAAACAGGCATTTCTGCCTTCTCATCTAACCATGCATCCAGACTCTCAACTAAAGATGAAGAATATGATGTATAAGAAGGCGTGCTACAGTCAGACCTCGCTTATCCGGCGGCCCTCTTTTATCCGGATCCCTCGCCATCCGGAAGAAAATAGCTGGTTACAGATTTACAGCATACGTGGTGCATCTAACACAACCCGTGTTCGGTTACCCGTTCTCTCGCCTATCCGGGTATTTTTGTGGAAAACGGATATGTGCGGTTAAGCGAGGTCTGACTGTAGGTGAGGACGGCGGTGGGAGACAGCAAGGTACTCTGGACACGTACCAGTACAAGTGGTACCACAGCAGAGTGGGTAGTCACACGAGTTCACCAGCTCTGTGCATCCGTAGTCGGCGGAGATGTTGGCCGTCTTGCAGCCGCCTTGCTGGGCACAATGGTTGATGGCCGTCACAAACGTACCGTATCCTGCGCCAGCACAGCGAGCTCCAGTAGCCACCTGGACACACACACACACATGCATGTATGCACACACACGCACGCACACACACACACACACACACACACACACACACACACACACACACACACACACACACACACACACACACACACACACACACACACACACACACACACACACACACACACACACACACACACACACACACACACACACACACACACACACACACACACACACACACACACACACACACACACACACACACACACACACACACACACACACACACACACACACACACACACACACACACACACACACACACACACACACACACACACACACACACACACACACACACACACACACACACACACACAACAGTCAGCATAGGACATACGGTGGCGAGATTCCTGCAACACGACACAGCACTACCCCCCCCCCCCACTGGCACCATACAGAGAAAGAGTACGTCGAAATAACGACAACTACTCCCAATGCCACGCCAACAAACACCAAAACCCAATCCCAGAGAGCCTGACACAATCAAGTCAAGAATAGCATACAGTATTGTTGGGCGCCGAAGAACGGAGCGCCGAAGAGCGGAGCGCTGAAGAGCGGAGCGCCGAAGAGCGGAGCGCCGAAGAACGGAGCGCCGAAGAGCGGAGCGCCGAAGAGCGGAGCGCTGAAGAGCGGAGCGCCGAAGAGCGGAGCGCCGAAGAACGGAGCGCCGAAGAACGGAGCGCCGAAGAACAGAGCGCCGAAGAGCGGAGCGCCGAAGAACGGAGCGCCGAAGAACGGAGCGCCGAAGAACGGCCAGGCTAGAATTTCATCAAGCACAGCATACCAATGTATACACGGTGACTCAACTGCCCATAGACTGCAGTGCATGAAAATAAGAACGGTCTAGGCTAGGAGGCTGACCCGGCCCCCACTTCTTCGGTGACCGACAGCAGTACTGTAATGGCTTACGTTAGTGATGATATCCCGAGCACCGCGAGCGCCGCATGGGTACCATCCATTGATCGTGTCGCACACATCCGCTGGGCTGTAGCACTGTAGGTTGTTGCGATAGTTGTTACCGCATCTAGCACCTGCAACCAAAACAACAACAACAACACCAATGCATAACCCACAGCATCTCACCTCATAAACTTATCTCTTATTGGCGACTGTGCCATCGTGAGAATAAGGAATTAAAAAAAATTATCACAAGATGATTGGAGTATGGAAGTTTGTGAAAAAATAACAACAAAAACAAACCGACCCCCGATAGTACAACGAAGCAAAGCACGCACACGCGAACCGATGCTTACCGAGAGCCGACGGCGGGGTACGCATATCCATACGTCGAGCAAAGCGACCAGTGCAGGCGGCCACGTTGGTGTCGGTGAAGAAACCTTCACGGGTACGATCAGCACAGCCAGTTGTGAGAGCTGAGGAGCAACAACAACAACAAGTAAAAACAAAAGAGTAAATCGTCATGTCCGTTCCCAACGGGAACTCACGACGGCCGCTAACACCCGGTAAACCCTAGCGGCAGGTGCAGCGCCTATCAGTGGGGAGAGGGGGGGGGGGGGAGTAACAAGAAGAAAACAAAACGCAGTTCAAGGTTGATAGTTATCCCTTGCACGTACATGTACTAGGGCTTATTGCATCATCAGCAGAACAGAAAACAGAAGAGCCAGAAATCCCCACGGGAGCTGAAGTGCACAAATACTTTGAGATATCGCTATTGTGCCCAGACACGCACGCACGCGCGCGCGCACACACACAGACACACACGGACACAGACACAGACACACATACAGACACAGACACACGCATAGTTACAGAAAGAGAAGAGGACCTACCACTGTAGCCGTATGCGGTGGTTGGGTTCTCTGGGGAAGGCAAAGAGAAAGCCCAAGACAAGAAGAAGTCAGTCAATATCCGGCACCAAACAAGAACCAGAGTAGCATTCCAAGTTGCCTTGTTCCGTTCTTCTGTTCGCGATCTGCAGGTCCGCTCAGTATTCATTCTCCATTTTTCTGTTGCCTACCTGGGAAAAAGCAATTGTACCCCCCCCCCCCCTCACACACACACACGCATGCACGTATGCAAACACGCATACTTCCACTTCACACACGCGCACATGCGCGCACACACACACACACACACACACGCACATACACACACACGTACACACACACACGTACACACACACTCAAGCACCCCCTCCCCCGCCCCACACACACAGCAATCTACACAGCCATTCACAAAAGCACTGGGGACATTGGCAGGTCGCCAACACGGAAAAGAACCCATCCCAGACTTTCGATGTCCTTACTCGTGAAAGCACCACAACCGGATGAGAACATGAAGTCGTCGACGGCGATATCTCCTCGCCATGAGTTGGCATGGACAACCACAATGTGAATGCGGAAGCTGCCGCCCGTCAGGGAAAGCTGCACTGAATTCCACTTGTCTCCCTGCAACACACACAACATTAAATTATTTTTATTATTAAGTGCATTCCCGCAAGTGTACCGGGATTGCCAAATGTTCACATATTTTCATATCAATCCCGCCAGCTCATCATGATAGACTACTCGGCAATCGGAAACGCAGAAGCGGAACGAGATATCACTTTTTTCTACACGAAAGATTTCATCTCTAATTCCCAGGTCCGAGTGGGACTCCGATCCCTGGGTGAAAAAAAAGCTGCGTACCTGGTTTCCAGACTTGCTCCAGATCTGCGTGAGCGAGGAGGCCGACGGCGTGTACTGATAGACATAGAGCGTTCCCAGTCCAGTGGTGGAACCGTACATGTGGTACCACATGGTGAACGTACACGCTGTGCCACCGGCAATCTGAGGACTCTCCAGTATGGCGCGGGTATCCACCGGCGTGCCGCTCGCCTCAAAGTACATGTAGTGACCTGGGTATGCACACACACATACAGACATGCACACAAACAGACACACATATAAGACAGACAGACAGACAACATAAACAGTCAAACCATGTTCAGCAAGTACATGTATGCCAAAATGGTATGCAGAACATCATCTTGCTCACAATGGCAAGCTATGGGTGAGAGAGAGAGAGAGAGAGAGAGAGAGAGAGAGAGAGAGAGAGAGGGAGAGGGAGAGAGAGAGAGAGGAGAGAGAGAGAGACAGACACAGAGAACTTTTGATAGCTTCCTGAAGGCCTTACCGAAAGGAGTGGCGGTGGTGTGATCAAACGTGGGTCCGGTTGTGCCGGACGGCGTGAATCCCTCCCAGAGTCTAAACTGTTGATCAGATGCAGCACTAGCCTGCCAGTCACAGCGGCTCTCAAAGTTGCAGTTGGCCACAACCACTGAAACAAGAAGAAACAGAAGAAAACTGTGAGCAACACGACAGCTTCCACAAGGACAAGCTACATGCCAACAACTGGTGAGAGGGCAAACAATCCAACACAAACAAACCAGGATAGTAGGCACCGGCGGATTATGCTCGAAAAGGTGGCAGATTCTGCTCGAAAAGCAGTGAAATTGGCAGAACCATACAAACCTTATGGCGGACAATTCCTCGAATTCTGCTCCATTTCTTTATCCACATACCAAACATGCATGAAACTTACCAGAAAAAGTACCGAATTCTGCCAATTTTTCTGCCGGCATTATCCGCCGGTGCCTACAGGATAGTGGGTAGCCAGTGCAAGCGTGTTAGTGTGTGAGTATGTGTCTGTCACTTACCTCCTGCTGGTGGCTGAGTACCAGCCTGGCTGTGGTTGTGAGGTGCAGCGCATACATCCGATGCATGGCACGACTGGTTGTCTGAACAAGGAAGAAAGAAGAGAGAGAGAGAGAGAATGTGTGAGATAGATATTGTTGTGGGGATAGATAGACAGACAGACAGACAGACAGACAGTTAGATAGATAGATAGACAGACAGACAGACAGTTAGATAGATAGACAGACAGACAGACACACAGACAGACAGACAGATAGATAGATAGAGAGAGGAAACAGAGAGAGAGAGAGAGGAGAAGCCAATCTCCACTGTGCTTTGGTACAGGCCAGAGAAATCCAACCTCATGACTAGAACAGCACCAGGGCTATGCGTTGCTAGCACCACACACAACACTTGGCGCACTGGAAAGCGATGCTAGTGTATTCAAGGGGTTGGATTTCTCCAGCACTCAACTGTACAAATCCACTCACTGATGAAGTACTGTGAGCAACCGGGACTGAACGTCAGGTCATCAAACGCGATGTCTCCGAATGGACAGTTTGTGTTGAGTGAGGCTCGCAGGGTGACGGTGAAGTTGCCAACACCGCCGACATTGTTGTATAGGTCAACTGTGACGTTGTTCCAATAAGGACCCTGTATGGAACAAGAAAAAAGCGTCAAGGAAAGCTCTCTCCGTCACTATCACTGGGATGTTGTTGTGTGTGTGTGTGTGTGTGTATGTGTGAGTGTGTGTGTGAGTGTGAACCCGTACCTATCAGCAGACCGCTGTTGTTGATGTTGAGTATGCGGACGATGCAAACTTTGTAGTTGGTTCGCGGGAGCATGCTGTGTTGGCCTTGACGGCGTTCCAGGATGTTTCTGCTGAATTTGGCCTCACTGTGAGTATACCCAAGACCAAGTTTATGGTGGCTGGTGTTGGTGTTACTTCAGTTGACACTGCTGGCATTCCGCTTCATGGACAGGTGGTGGAAAATGTTTCCTCCTTCGTTTATCTGGGTTCTGTCATCACTCCGGATGCGCGTTCTGCGGGAGACGTTTCGAGGCGTTTGTCACTCGCCTCGCGTGCCTTTGGATCGCTTCAGGATGTGTTTGCTAATCGTGATCTTTCACTCCATGTGAAGCGCCGATTGTATAACGCCTGTGTGATGACAGTGCTACTGTATGCTTCGGAGTGCTGGTGCCCTTTGCAGGGTGACCTCCGGCGCCTCGATAGTTTCCACCACCAGTGCATCCGTAGCATCTTGTGTGTTTCGCGAACACAACAGTGGGAGGAACGCATCACCAATGAGCAGCTCCGAGAGATGTGGGGTGATACATCGCTATTGTCCTCCCGGCTTCGGAAGCGGAGGCTTGAATGGCTTGGCCATGTGGCCCGCATGTCGGATGTTCGTGTGCCCAAGCAGCTGTTGTTTGGCTTCCTACCGTCGCCTCGGCCTGCGTGTGGTCCTCGTCGTCGCTGGAGGGATGTGATTTCGGCTGATCTTCGGCACATCGGCATTGAACATCTAGCTTGGTATGGGATAGCTCAGGATCGATCTGCCTGGCGGGTGTCTGCCGTTGGGCCGAGCCTCGGCGGTCCTTCCCATGACCAATCTCAACGGGTGGACTGTCTTATCTGCCACCGTTCGTTTCGTCGGCCAGGTGACAAAGCAAGACACAAGTGTAGCGCAGAACGAAGTCTCCCCATCCAGGAACAGCGTGGTGCTGTGCAGTGTGGTACATGCAGGAGGTGGTTTCACTCTCGTGGTGGCTTGCGTGTACATCATTGTTTGCCCCTGGAACCATCGGAAGCGTCCGCGCCGGCATCACCTATTCCGCTCAACGTCCCAGCTTCTCTCTTGTGTGTGACATGCAATCGGCAGTTCAAGTCAGTGCCTGGTTTCAGACGTCACAAGTGCGACCGTGGCCATCGAGCAACCAAGTCTGATAGAGCGGCGTATGGTGTTCGCTGTTCTCGCTGCAGCCGTCAGTTCCGTCGACAGAGTGACCTGAGTCGTCATCTCCGTTTCTGCTCCTGACAATGACTCTGGCTCCTTTCGGAGTGGTGTGGCCCTTGTGGCAACCAAGCTACAGTAGTAGTAGTAGTAGTAGTGAGTGTGTGAGTGTGTGTGTGTGTGTGTGTGTGTGTGTGTGTGTGTGTGAGTGTGTGTGTGACTGTGTGTGTGTGTGTGTGTGTGTGTGTGTGTGAGTGTGTGTGTGTGTGTGTGTGTGTGTGTGTGTGTGTGTGTGTGTGCGAGTGTGTGTGTGTGTGTGTGTGTGTGTGTGTGTGTGTGTGTGTATACATGCATGTCGGTACACCTGCAAACTCAAATTCTTGAAAAGGACATGTTCCAGCAGAATAAACACTTCGCAACACTACATCTTGCACAATGCACACCCAATGGTCTCTCTCTCTCTCCCTCTCTCTCTTTCACGCACACCCACACCCACACCCACACACACGCACACGTGCACACACACACATACGTTCCTTCTCCGAAACGCTCACAGCCATACCTGGTCGCCGGTAACGGACCAAATGATCTTGCGCGCCGGGTTGTTAGGCGGTGGGAATCGATCACCGATGATGGCAAACTGACCGATGCAGCTGCCTTGCATGTGATAGAACACTGTCAGTGTGCACACGCCTGGTGACGGGATCTGTAGCCATCGTTACCATGGAAAACATGGCGACGACGACAAGCATGCACAGTTGGGGAAAAGAGAGGCAGAGACGGAGAAAAAGACACCATGAGATCAGTAGTAAATGAAAAAAAATCTAAAAAAGCATATTTTAAGTAACAGAATATGATGCTAGGTACAGAGTGAGCTCGGGTCAGAATGACTGAGGAACGCAACAATGCATCCGTGCTGTGTAACCCACTTACTGTAAAAGCCATTATTCTAACGAGGCGCATATATAACGATTTCCTAAAATTGACTGGTTTACGTGTACCAAAGTTAACGATTCTCACTCATTCTCAACGCTCAATAGCAACAGTATTGTATCGATTTCTGTATAACGATTTCTATTTTAACGACAGAGTCCTCCTCGTTAACTCGTTAGAATTAGAACTTCGTTGTACCGGTATATGGCTTTTACAGTATGTCTTCCACCGGACACATTTCCATGGCAACCCCACCATCACCCATAACGTTGTAAGGAGAAACCACGGATGTCTACATAACGCAAGCAGCATGCCAGCAGCGGAGCAGAACGGCAGAGCCGTCACCACGTCCACGATTCATGCCTGCGATGCTGCACCGCTGCTTTGCATGTCATGATTGGAAGCTGTAGCCTTAGTAAAAAAAAAAGCCGGCAGAGCAACCCACCTGGTACATTCCCTTGCTGATGTAGCGCGCGTTGCCGCCGGCAACTCGCGACGACGCCTCCAGGTACATGTAGGAGCCGAAGGCGTTGGCCAGCGTGTGGTCGAACTGCGGACCGGTGCTCTGCGTTGCCGTGGCGCCCTGGCCGCGGTAGAAGTCCAGGTTGTCCCAGATGTTGTTGTACCAGCAGCAGGAGCACGACTCGAAGTTGCAGTTGCCGCTGTAGAGCTGCGGGGGCGGAGGCGGTGGCAGGCTTGGACCTGGCAGCGGGCAGTTGCCGATGAACTTGATGTCGTCAAGCGAGATGTCACCCTGCCAGGTGCTGCCACGCACGCCCTCGAACACCACCGTGTAGTTGCTGGCGCTGTTCAGCGCGACTGTCGCGTTCCTCCAGCTGCACACGCGTGCACACACACACACATACACACAGGACACGTGGACAAACGTACGCATCAGCATACACCACAGAAGTACGTTTTTACGGTTTGCGTGCGCGTGCGCGCGCGCGGGAGACTCAGTTAGAAGGAGCGTTCCGCATCCGTGGGGATGTCACCACCCTCAAGGATCAAGGTGTGTGTGTGTGTGTGCACACGCGTGTGTGCGTGCATGCGCGAGCGTGTGTGTGTGAGTGCGCTACTTGTGTGCGTGTGTTTGTCGTACACGTGCATGACGATAGAGATCTGTTTGCACTAAACGTATACATACGCGGTTCCTTGTGAGCTAGACTTGGTCCAGAGCAGCTGCTGTCCCTTGGCATTATTCATGTAGACGTTGAGTGAACCAATGCCGCTTCCCAACATATGATACCTGTAGAGCAACGATAGCACGACAACAGGACAAGAGCCTCACTGATTTACCACGGGAAACCACTCCAAACCAGGCACAATCCTGAAGCAGACCGGGTTGGCAATAAAATCTCTGGATTACCGTAGGAAATATGTCAATTTCACCCAACGCGGCAAAATCAGAATACTCATTAGGCTTTCCAGAATTATGTGTTTAGTTTACCTGGCAAGATTGAATTTTGTATAATGGCATTGAGCAGCAGCAGCTATAGCAGAGTTGGCTGCAGCAATGGTAGCAGCAGTGGCAGCAGCAGCAGCAGCAGCAGCAGCAGCAGCAGCAATGGTAGCAGGATTGGCTGCAGCAATGGTAGCAGGATTGGCTGCAGCAATGGTAGCAGGATTGGCTGCAGCAATGGTAGCAGCAGCAGCAGCAGCAGGGGCAGCAGCAGCAACAATGGTAGCAGCAGCAGCAGCGATAGTTGCAGCGATAGTTGCAGCAATGGTAGCAGCAGTGGTAGCAGCAGTGGTAGCAGCGGCAGCGACAGCGAAAGCAGCAGCAGCGACAGCGAAAGCAGCAGCAGGCAACTCACCAGAAGGAGAGCATGCATCCTGGTCCAGAGGCGGCCATTGTCAGTGACGTCATTTGTCCCTTGTCACCAGTTGCGAACGGTGCTGAGGTCTCGATGTACACATAGTGGCCTGGAAACGTACCAATGCAAAGAAAAGAAAATTCGTGAATGTAATAAAGAGAGAGAGAGAGAGAGAGAGAGAGAGAGAGAGAGATCGATTGATGGAGCTCTTCGGCTTCTTCCTAGATACTTAGTTTTTTAGATTCCGACAAGAATCGATCGAGTTACAAATGTTTTAGTGTAGGCATGTCCGTCGATCTCAAGAGATCAATTCAAGTACGCACGGATGGTAAAGGGTTAAAAAAAAAGCAATATGGCCGGGCAACTAAACAAAACGCGCACCCGCAAACACACACAAACACACACACACACACGCATACAAACGCTAACCAACCTGTGGAGTTTCCGAAGGTGTGGTCGCTGCCCGGTCCAGTACCGCCGCTGGGCGTCCTGCCGCGACGCAGACGCCAGTACAACGTGTTCTGCGGAACGTGTTGCCACAGGCACAGGTTGGGCTCAAAGTCACAGTCCATAGTGTTTCCAGTCTTTTTGGTGATAGCACCTACAGGGGCAGCAGAAGCAACAGAAACAGAAGCAACAGCAGCAGAAACAGCGGCGGCGGCAGCAGCAACAGCAGCAGCAGAAACAGCAGCAGCAGCAGAAACAGCGGCAGCAACAGCATCAGATTGTGAGTCACACTGGAGTATAAGTCGCACCCCCATTTTCAGGTTTGATCCCTATGATTGTTTCGATTATATTCTCTTCAAAAACAACAAACTCTCCTCCTCCATGCACTCTAAAGCCGACCATTGCTACCCTCGGTAGCCATTGCTCACACCAATAATCTCATACAACGAAGGGGTCACGGGTAAAATAGTTCTTTCTGACAGCTGTTTCGCCTAGGAAAGGCTCTTCAGAGAAGGTGATACTGGATATTCACTTCAGTAGTAAGCCATGCTCGATTGTAAGTTGCACCCCTTTTTTTACCCTTGATGTTCTGGTGTAAAAAGGTGCGACTTATATTCGGGGAATACGGTAATTTTCCATTTCCATCTCTCTGCCCGTAATTCAGAATTTCCATACTTGCTGCATGCAAGGAAGACAATTTTTTTATGCCAATCAATAGTTTTTGGGGTTGTTTTTCGCGGAAAAGGCATTTTTGTGTGACAGTAGATGGGTCAGAAAGGTGCCCGGTGGACGAACGTGCCCGGATTAGGGGCACCCGGATCTGGGGAGGTTTACTGCACTCGGGAAAATACGGCACATCGTACTGGTATTGGGGGATGTCTCTTACCGCATGTGAGCAGAGCGACGTCGTCTAGAGCAATGTCGCCAGTGAAGCTGGTGCCAGAGATGCCGAAGACGAGAATGCTGAACGTCTTCTCGGTGCTGTTGACGGGAACGATGGCCTGACGCCACCAGTCGCCCTGGTTACCCTTCTTAGACCACACCTACATGTAGGCAGCCAAAACACACACACACACACACACACACACACACACACACACACACACACACACACACACACACAATGTAACACAAGACCAAATACAAACAATTAAAAAGAGTTCAAAGCAGTTGTATTTCTAGCCGGCTGATCGCAGCGAGGTAGGCGAGAGAAGATTTCTCGTGCAACATTTCCAGTTGCAAATATGGCACCTGGTGTGTTCATTATCGTTCTTGTCTTTTCCTGACTTCTTCAGGCAGTTTTTTGAGTCTCACCAGTGTCCCGGCCATATCTGGCAGCGGCCAACTACCCTTCCATTTGTGTGCCATTGCTATTGCTGTCTTTGTGTCTGGGTATGCTAGTACCGTCAATTTCGCTAATGACGACTGCGGATATAACGACAATTCGCGAATAGC